ACAAGCCTCTGAAGGACTGAGCTAGGAAGCCTCGGTAGGATGCAGCCTTCCGTTTGAGAAGCACCCCGTGCCTCTGCCAAATGGTTTCGATCTAGCTAATCAATGCGAGAGATAGAGATTGGAGTGGAAGCGCACAGGTGGAGCAGAGAAACAAAGCTACTGTTCAGGACTTCAAGTGCAGGTCAGTTTCAACTGTAAATAGGCTATTGTAGTTTTGTCTTTGTTTACTTAGTTAAGCAGCAGCAGCCCATTACTCATCACTCAAAATACTGTATACTAAAGGACATCATTATTATCTATCGTAAAGTCACAGTAGCAATTTAGCAGACACATAATCACATCATTTTTTAATAGGTTTAGGGGGAGCTAGGGCAGACAACAACTGTTCTGGAACAGTGTTGTAAATACAACTTAACCACTGATTTCTAATCGTGTCCTCTTTTGGAAGACCAAACAAAGTAGTTTCGCTTTCACAACGAAAAAGCGTTACACACCATCTTGAGTGAGCGGAGGCGGGCGGGCTTGAGAACGAATTGAAAAAATTGAACTTGAGAAAAATTGAAATCGCATCATGACCCCTTTAATCTTTTTTTTTTTTTTCTGGTGTTTTTCTTAGTATACGTAGCTGAAAATATGATTTATACTTTAAATAGGTCCTTTGACGTAGTCTTTATGGTTTAGTAAACTAAATCAAACACGGACTAACAAAATTCTTCAAAAGTAAATATATATATATATATAGTTGTTGTTCACAGCAGCAGCTTCCAAATACAAATGGCACACTTAGAATCAACTCCAGACCTTTTACCTGCTTAACTCGTGCAGAAATAATGAAGGAATAGCCCACACCTGTCCATGAAACAGCTTTTGAGTTAATTGCCCAAATACTTATGGTCCCTTAAAAAAGGGGGGAGGTACATATTAATTCCTAAACCTTTCCTCCAATTGTGATGAGAATACCCTCAAATTAAAGCTCAGAGTCTGCACGTTAAGCCCATTATATAACTGTAACTGTATATAACTGTAACTTGTTTTGGTCAACAGTTAACAGTGACAGAGTGAGCGGCCGCTCTAGCGCCTCTCAAATATTGTCCATTCCTGCAGTTCCTGTGAGGAGACGTAGACGCATGTCCACCACTGGTCAAAGTGCTGGAGGAGAGGACAGAGAGTGAGCCGCTGCTGATCCAGCACTACGTCCACACGATCACCTCCAGATCCGAGCTGGAAGGTCGACAGATGAGGGAGTGAGATGTGAGTGCTAGAGATGCTCATTATTCTCTTCTGTACAGCCGTTCATATGTGAACACATTAATGCATCCTCCGTATCTATTGCATTGTGGGAAGTGGGACGCCAGTAGCGGTCAAGCTCACTCTTCCTCCTCTGTGAACAGTCCCTTCCCTCACACATCATAAGAGAAGTGCAAGAAAACGGTTTCCACGCTCCATGTATTATATGAATGTGATTCCATTGGATTGCACGAGAAGACGCCAGACAAAGCAGTGGCGTAACTGCTCACTCTCCTTCTCTGCATTCGCTCACCTATTCAGTATGGGAACATAATGAGGATACTGATGCTGCCTCCATAGCTTGAGCACTGGAGAGGACGACAGATGAAAGAGTGGCACGCGAGTGGCGTAATTGCCCAATAAAGGGTTTCATTACATTACTTGCTCACCGCGGCACTGGCCAGCTGTCGTTTTGCTTTTTAATAGAAATAAAAACCACACTGGCTCAACACACAGCTTTCTGTAGCTGAGCTGTTGCATGACATTAAACCCTATCGTAACATTAGCATCATTTCAGCCTGTTTAATAAACTGAAGTTAAACCCAGTTTTAATTCAATCAATAAAACAGTTTACACATACTAACATTTATTTGAATTCAATTTATTTAATTAATCTACAGTATTTGAGCACATTACTTTAACTTCCACAAGCCCTCCTTTCAAATCTT